ATGATGATGATGAATGATGATGATGATGACGGTGAGAACCGCACGTGCAGCACAAAGAACGTGCCAGGGACAGGGATAGGCGGGAGGGGAGGTGCGTACCATCGTGCTTGCCCGTCGGCTGCGGTCCGGGTTCGGGGGCGGCAGACGACGAGGAGGACGAGGGAGCGGCGAGGCGGGCGGCGTCCAGACGCTGCTTTTCCCACGTGAGGATGAGCTCCACGAGGTCGACCGCCAACCGCCGGTTCTCGGGAGAGGAGTTGGGGAGCAGGCCGATGCGCGACAGAGAGTGCACGACGTGGGTGACAAACTCACTCCGACATCGATAAAAGAGCGTCGGGTGCCTGTGCAGGAAATCTGTCAGCCATGATGTGCGACACGCGCGCTACTCTCCTCCTTCTTCTTCCTCCGTTCATTTTCTTCTTGCTCCGCCTGAGGGGCTGCATCATCATCATCATCATCATCATCATCATCATCATCATCATCATCATCATCATCATCATCATCTCCGCAGCTCGATCGAGACGGGAAGAGTCGGGGAGGGGTGGGGGGGAGGGGAGAGGGCAAGGAGAGGGGCACCGGGTGAGGAGCTGCAGGATGTGGATGAGCTGGGGCAGGGAGTGGCCCTCCTCAACGAGGATCTTCTTGGTCCAGCGGATCCAGGGATCGGACGACGGAAGTCGCTTGTCGAGGGCCGGCGTCAGGATGTCCAACGCCTGCCGCACCAACGACCGTGCTTCCGGCTGGAATGCGCGAAGGAGCGCCACGTACACCTGCGTTGCACCCCAGCCACCACCAGCCACCACCAGCCACCACCACGCAAGTCTTGGTGTCAGGCAGGGAACGACAGGGACGGGCGGGCGGGCGGGCGGCGCCAGTTCACCTGGAGAATGATCTTGGGCGGAGTCTCATAGGCCTCGATGAATCTGCAGACGAGCACGTACGCGCACTGCTTGGACGTGGTGTCCTCGCTCTTCAGGTGATTCCATGCAAACTTGATCAGCTCCTTGCGGTGCTCGACGAGTTCATTGGGCATGAACCTGGATCTCCGCACCACCACGACACACCACGGTACACGTACACGGTACACGGTACACACGTTAGCAGCGACCGGAGAGCAGGGGTTCCACCACCCGATGATCACAATTGCCGAGGCCGGGTGATGGGGGAAATGGGCGCGCACCGAACGAGGAGGGTGGCCAGCTGTAGGAGCTCGATGCTGAGGGCCTCGTCGTAGGGGGCGCGGCTACCGGGTAGCAGCGTCTTGGCGCTGCTCTTGGCTGCCTCTTGACTGCCGGCAGCTGCGACGAGTGCTCCGGCAGGGGTGGCAGGTGCAGCAGCAGCAGCAGCGCAGCGGCGAAGCACCAGAAAGTGGAGCGGCGGCGGCGGCGGCGGCGGGGGAAACCAAGGCCGGAGTGGAGGCCGGAAGGCTTGGGGCAGAGGTGGCGAAGGGCGAGGAAGAGGGGAACGGGTTGCGGGGACTGGTAGGGTCGAGGATGTTGTTGACGATGGCTGCGACAAGAGTGGGGTCCACCACCTCGCTCGTCTCTTGCTTGAGGAAGGACGCGGTCAGAGCCGGGATGATGAGCACCTGAAGCACCTTCACCTTGTGCTCGCTGCTGTAGGCGGGCTCGGCAGAGGTGAAAAAGTTGACAAAGCGGTGCAAGATCGCGTTCTTCTGCGCCGCCGTGTACTCCTGCACACGCACCACACATCACACGGAGATGAGAGAGAGAGAGAGAGAGAGAGAGAGAGAGAACGCGCGCGTGAGGAGGAGGGAGGGAGGGGGGAGGCGGGTTGGGCCAGATAGGGGGAAGGGGGGAAGGGGAGGGTCCCTACCTCGGCAATGGTGTGGAGGTAGTAGTCCTTGAGGAAGGAGTAGTCGATGGTGGTGCGGATGGTGAAGATGGAGAGCATTTGGAAGAGCACGTCCACTTCGTCCCCGTGGTGCTTGCAATAGTTGAGGAAGCACTTGACCATGAGCTTGGATTCCCGCATGTTGGAGAGTGGCTGGGTCTCCTCGTTGCGCAGGCGGGTCTCCTTCAGAAACTGTTCGGTTCTCACACGAGTGAGCGATTGGACGCACCAGCGGGCGCTGGTGTATGTGGGGGAGGGAGAGGAAGGGAGGGGAGAAGGCACCGAGGGGGATTTCCAGATGGCCAACAGGCAGTCGAGGACCGGACGATTGCGAGCCAGCCAGTCGGGGAGGAACTTGACCAGGGTGCGGGTCATCAAGATGCCCTGGAACTGAAGCTCCACCGGCGGACGGCCCTGCATTCTCGCGAAGGGGAAGCTGCCGTGAGTATATATATATATGGATACCAAATTATAATTTATATAGAAATTTAGAAATAGAAAGATAAAAATATATGGAGTGGCTTGGTACCTGGTTGTAGTTGAACGTGGCGTTGATGAGCGTGGTAGGATTTTTCGCCAGCTCATTGCGCAACTCGGCGGCCAAGGGGTGGTTGAGCACGAAGCCCCACAGCTTGCTGTAGGCGGGGTTGGTGAGCCGTTCCGAGACGAAATACTCCACAGCCTCTGCGGGGTAGCAGCTCAGGAACTTGATCAGCGGTTGCCGGTACCTACACACGACACACATACGACACACACACGACACACATACGACACACACACGACACAACGCCCGCCAAGGAAGAAATCCTGTTAGGCGCCTTGCACGCTACCTCACGATCTAAATAAATGAATGAATAAATAAATCAAGCAAGGGGAGGGCTGGGTCCATACGGGCTGCTCACTTCGCGAGGCAAAAGGGCCTCGAGCTGGATCGTGAGGTTCACCAGAGGTTCTGTTCAGTGGAATGCGCCAGAGGTGAGAGCGCGCCGGCGGGGCTTGTTCTGGCTCTCCCGGAGACACGCGCACCCACGCAGCAGCAGCAGCAGCAGCAGCAGCAGGGGCTTACCTAGGAACTTGCTGGCGGCAGAAGGCAACAGGTGGAAGATGTCGATGATGTGGGCGGCGATCTTGATCTCCTCCCCCTCCTTCCAGATCTTGGCCGCGGCGATCTTCTGCGGCTCATTCCACTTCTGCAGGTGCTCCAGCAATTTTTCTGGTGACGTCACAACCGCACGCCCCCACACGCGGAAGCCCCCTCCCCCGTCAAACATCTGTTATTCACAAAATAGATCATCATAGGCTTAGAAAGGGGGGGGGAATACCGCCAAGAGTGACGTTGAAGCAGTTGGTCAGGAGCTCGAGAAGGCGAGCCAGGCCCTTCAGGAGCGGCACGGAGAGTTTGCGGTAGTCGGCCAGGTTGAGGAGCACCGGCCGGAGGCTGGACTGCAGCAGCTCCTTGGGCAGCTTGTGCTGATTGATCACATGCGAGAGCCCTTTCTTCGACACGCTCACCACCTCCTGGAAATAGTTGCGGGGGGAGGAGGGCTGGTGAGCAGCAACGTAAAGGATCATTTACGCACACGCAGCACACGTCCGCGGATGACGCTCCATCCATCATCCACATACATACATACATACATACATACATACATACATACATATACTACTATTACATATGGATGGGATGGGGTGGGGACCCTCACCTAACCCATGACCCACAAGAGAAAGGGGGCGATTGGCGGGGGGGGGGCGAGGTGGCCTGACCTACCTTGGAGCGGAGGGTGAGGGTCTTGAAGAAGACGCCGATGATGCGGTTGCGGAACTCCTGGTGCTCGGGGGCCTGGAACTCGGGACAGGCCATGGCGACGGAGAGAAGTTCGATGGCCACCACGCGAGAGTTGGTGAGGAGTTGGAGCTTGCGGTGCTGGCGAACCTTGGCCACGTCGTCCACCTCGGCGATCTCCAGGGCCTCCTTGAGCACCCGTACGAGCTCGAAGGTGAATGGCACGAAGGACGGCCGCAACGAGATGCAGAACGTGAGCGCGTCGAGATAGCCCGTCTGCACCAGAATGGGCAACGAGCGCAGGGGCTGCTTCCCGAACACCGGACCTGCGCCACCCCCCCCCAAACACGCGTGAGCGCACGCATGGGATGCCGTCTGTGGTGGCTGGTGCGGTCAAGGAAGCGACGACGTACCGAGTATGGACTGCTTGAGGGGCTCTAGGAGTGTGGTCAGGTCGGTGCCGGTCAGGTCGGCGATCTGGTGGAGCAGGTCCTTGATATTCTTGCGCACGGTGGCATTGGGCTGCGCAAGCTCTCCGGCAAGCAGGGCAAGCACCTGCCTGAAGACGCCCTGGTAGTCTCTCGCCTCCTCCTCGCTCTGCGGCCAACCACCACCACCACCCACCACCCACCACCCACCACCCACCGCCACCCGCCACCAGTGTTCACGATGGCCACGCGGTGAGCGACAGGGAACCATCCACAGCCGCCAAACGCGGGAACACGCGCACGTACCTCCGAGCTCTCCGGCTGTTGACGCGCGTTGCACACTTTGAGCACAACGGATAGGGTGCGGGACGCTTCTTCGACCGTGGTGGCCGAAACCTCGGGGGACAAGTCCTGCATATACCATCACACACACACACACGCCATCTCGAACGCGTTAAGCCGCGTCCGCTTCCCCGCCGCCTCCCTGCAGCCCTCTGACCCCCCAAGCGGGAGGGCAGTCGTTTCTCGCACCTTGAGCACAAAGATCAGCGCCTTCACAAAGGTCACTTGATGCGTGCGCGCTCGCTTGGGCGGCAACTTGGAGCTGAGCAGCGCAATGCCCGCGCACCCACCGCTCTTATACTGCCACTCGGCCTGTGCACGCCACGCACGCCACGCCACGCACGCCACGCACGCCACGCACGACATAACCACACGACATGAGGGAGAGAGGGAGAGAGATATTGGTATGGCATTCCGCGGTAATGAAGTGGCACCGTTTACATGGGTCCAGTGGCAGGCCCATGCCAACGGTGTGGTGGTGGTGGCTGGTGGCTGGTGGCTGGTGGTGGGCGAGGTACCTTGTAGCAGGCGTGGCACATCCTTGTGGCGAGCTCGTCAAATACGGGGAGGCCGGCAGCGGCCGCGGGTCCTGGCGCGAGCGAAATCACCATATCTGTGAGGGTCTCGAGCACTTGGACGGCAGCCTTGGCGTATTCTCGATCGCGAGACGTCAGAGCCTCCATGAGGGCATCCATGAACACCAGAGGATCCATTTCCTGCGTGTGCACGACACACACACACACACGACACAGAGAGAGGTTAGACCCGGGGGATGGGAATGAGGGACGGAGAAGGGTCGGGTGCCTTGAGCGCGGAAGTGGCCGGCAGGACACGGGCGGCGAACAGAAGGGCAAAGTGGCGCGTGATGTCGCTCAGGAAGGTACCCAGCTCCTCCTGCAAGCCGGGAAATCCTTCAACGTTGGAAACACACGCCGGCACCGGCGCCACTACACAAGACAGACCGCGAGTCACGACACTAGCTCGAGGGGATACCTTGAGCTTTTCATCGGCGGTGGCGACGACGAGGGCATACAGCATGGAGTGCATGATCTGCTGCTCGGCAAGCAGTTGGCTTCGCGTCTTGGCTGCCGTCTTCTCGCCCTCGGCGTAGGCGGGAAAGGGAGCCTTGTGCTGCTCCCCCCATCCCTCCTCAGCCTCAGCCAGCCTGCAGGGTAGTGCACGGCATGTGTGTGTGGTGTGTGTGTGAGAGAGAGAGAGAGAGAGAGGCAATGGAGAGGAGGGGAGGAGGAGAGGAGGGGCATGCGTACCGAGCGGCGATAGCTTCAGCGTTGAACTCGGGGTTGAGCATGAGCATCACGCACACCTGGAGGACACCCGACGCAGAACTCTGCATGTGGATGACGATGACGGTGGTGGTGGTGGTGGTGGTGGTGGTGGTGGTGGTGGTGGTGGTGGATAGTAGCCAGATCCGAGTGGTCGACCGCGAGAGAGGGAGAGAGAGAGAGATATGAGAGGATGTAATGGAACGGAAGGAGCGCGCGACGATAGGGCGGCGAGCTCGGCAGAATCAGCTCCCTCCTCCTCTTCTTCTTCTTCTTCTTCTTCTTCACAATGTGTGTCCGCGCACGGCGCTCGCAACGGTGTGAAGGAGGGGAGGAGCTGTGCCTTGGTGTGGGTATCGGAGGCGGGAGAGAGAAGGGCCTTGCGGGCGGCGCTGATGGTGTTGCCGAGCGGCAACGTGAAGGGCGTGCTCGGCTGGAACTGGAGCGCCAGCGAGAGGCTCTCGTCCTGCGCCGGGTGGTACTCCTGCGTGACGCGGCACGCCCATTTATATTAGAGGCAAGGAGGAGGAGGAGGAGAAGAAGGTGGGTTGGTGGGGTGTCACGGCGATGACGGGGCAGTGAATTCGTACGGATTTGATGGCCTGGGGGTGCTGCAGGAAGCGGCGGTTGCGGCCGGCGAGCTTGCCCAGGATGCGAGCCGCCTGAGGGCCGTGGGGATAGGGCAGCGGGCGAATGTGGCGCCAGATGGCCTGCATGAGCTCGAGCTGCACCTCGCCCAGGATGGGGTCCAGGAAGTCGGGCGTCAGGTTGTCCACGCACAGCTCCAACGTGCGAAAGCCCTGTGTGATCTGTATGTAGGCGGAGCACCAACCGCACGGTGAATTGGGTCCCCAGTTCGGGCCCGCACATATGCCGCGTGTCGTGTCGCGTGGTGCGCGATCGGTGCGGGCGCGTACCAGGTCGTTGTTGGAGGAGGCGAGGGCCAGCACGAGGGGTCGCATGAGCAAGCGGAGGCACGGGAGGAGGGAGCTGAGGCGGACGGGCACGGTGAGGCAGAGCTCGACGAAGAGGTCGCGCAGTTTCTGGGGGTGCGAGCTGAACTGGAGCCTCCCGAGGATGTCGAGCAGGGCCGGGAGCAGCGGCAGGAACTCCTTGTACAGGTACTCGAACTTGCCCCCGCCGATGCTACGGAACAGCGCCCGCATGAGCTGGAAGTAGTTGTTGGGATCCTGCCCCGCACCAATGCCAGCGCGAGAGACCGCTGCGTTATCAGTGGCGAGCTCCGATGCAATGCAATACCGCGGCAGCGGCAGCGGCAGCGCGTGCGTCGTCCGAGGCACGAACCTTGACCTCGCCGGCGTATTTGATGGAAGAGGTGATGATGAGGGCGAGGTGCGGCTGGAGCACAGGCTCGTTCTCGGCGAAAAGGGTGACCGACCCGAAGACCAGCTTGAAGAGACGCAGTAACACATCGGCCTCGGTTCTTTCCGACCCGCCCAGCTCTCTGCCATGCGCGCGGACCGTGAGTGAGTGAGTGAGTGAGTGAGTGAGTGAGTGAGCGAGTGAGCGAGTGAGTGGAACGGACGAGCTGGGGAGGGGAGGAGGGAAGATACCCGATGCGCTTCATCAAAAAGTCGAGGAGGAGCTCCGCAAACATGCGCGAGACGCCGGGATTGGCCAGGAAGTGCTGCGGGATGGAGATGGCCGACTGGTTGGTCACCATCTGGCGAAAGAGGAAGGGCATCTGGGCCTGCAGGACGTCCTGGAACACCCGCGCGTCCACCATCGTGAACACCGCCGCAAAGTGGTCCATGATCTGCACAGTGACGCCAGACGGCAGCCGTGAGCAGCACCACACGACACACACACACACGACACACCAACCGTACACCCCACGCACGACACGTAGGATCACAAGCTAGCAAGCAAGGCGTACGTCTTTTTCTTCCTGGAGGGAGGGGTTGGGTCCCTCGGAGTAGATGCCGAAGCACTTGAGCCCGTTCTTAAGGAGGCGCGTGAAGATGAGGCACTCCTCGGCGACCAACGCCCGGTGCGGATCTACCGCGGGGCTACCACCGGCGGCCGCGGTGGCCGCGTGGCGGGTGCGCAAGGTTTGGGTGCACGAGGTGATGCCCCACACGATGTTCTTGAGCCCCATCACCAGGTTCTTCATCAGCACCCGGCAGTCTGCCACGGCGCGACGCGCCCACGAAGATCAACACCCACGTGCCTTGCACGCACGCACGCACGAAGGGCGCCAGCGCCAGCGCCAGCCCCAGCCCCAGCAGCAGCGCCACCACCGGTGTCGCGCGGTCGACGGAAGGAGGTACGGGGAGGGGCACGTACCCTTGATGGATGCGAGCGTGCGGGCCTGGGAGCGCTTCCTCTTCTGACTCTGCAGAGTGCCCGGCTTGGCGTCGTCGTCCTCCAGTGGCTGAGAGACGATCTTGGGGATCTGCTTCTTGAGGCTGCTGAACTTGTTCACAAAGTTGTCCAGAATGCGCACCAGCAGTGCCCTCCCTTCGCCCATGCCCGCCCATGGGTGCACACACATGCACACACACACGACACACACGACACAGAGGCCCGCCGTCAGTCGGTCTGGCGGTCGATGATCGGCGCGCAAACCAACATGCCGCCCGCCCGCGCGTCCCACGAGATGGTGGCGGCGGTGCGTGGTGGAGAGGGATGGGGAGAGTGACCTTTGCCCTCGACGTCGCTGGTCTTGCGGGCGATGCCCTCGACCAGGTTGAGAAGCAGCTTGGCCGACATGGTCTGGATGTTAAAGGGCAGCGTCGAGTCGTGGATGTTCCGCGCAAAGAGCTGCACCACCCTCGAGAGCTGCGGCAGGGAGAGGTCTGTCCTCACGTGGTGCACGAGGTCGGCCAGCGTGCTGTAGGCCAGCGGCCTGCCACGTGGCACAACACCCGGGGAGGGGATTGGGGTTGGCGGATTGAGGGGGGGAGGGAGAGAAGCGGGGGTAGGCAAATTAGCCGGGAGCCCCTCCTCCCCCCCCAAAAAAAATAAGAGAGGGGAGGGAGAGGCTCTCGGGCGCTTACCGCAACGTCTCGAAGGAGGTGCGGCCGGAGCCGATGAGGACCTGCTCATCGAGCAGCGTGTCGATCTGGCTGATGAAGCCCACCCTGAACTCTGTCGCCAAGATGTGCCGCGTGGCGATCAACACTCCTGCGAAGAGAAAGCGCGTCAACACACCGGCCACCACGACCACCGCTATTACGGACACGTCTGTCCATCGCCTGTCCCCCCATAAAGCATCCGCATGCGGATACCCCGAAGGGGGGGGGGTACTTTTCGGATGGCGGCGCATTCGTGCGGGCAGTTGAGCAGCAGGGCGATCACACACTTGGGGATCTGCTCCTGGTAGGGCCGCAAGTGCTCGGCATAGCCCCGCAGCATGTAGGCCAGGAAGGATAGCGTCTGTTGCCCAGGCAGAAAACACACACGACACACACGACACACACGACACACACGACACACACGACACACACGACACACACGACACACACGACACACACGACACACACGACCGTTTTTGAACGGAAAGGGAAAGGGGAAAGGGGAAAGGGAGGTGAGGGTGCGCGTGCGTGTGGAGGGGGAGGGGCATGGGCAGGGACATTGGGGGTATGATGACGATGACAATGACGATGACGACGACGACGACGATGATGATGAGTACCTTGACCTGGGCGGCGACAAAGTCGACGTAGGCGGCGCGGTGTGTGGTGAGGGCGGCCTTGGGGGCGACGAGGCCGAGGGTGTTGACGATGAGGGGCATGAACTTGGGGATGTTGGCGTGCAGGTAGCGCGGGTAGAGCTGGAAGAGGAGGACGACGATGATGGGGCACTCGGTGAGGACCTTGAAGGACTGCGTGCTGCGGATAAGGCCGTGCCCCGCCGCCGCGGCCTTCTTCCCGGGCGGCGCGGCGGTGGCGTCGAGGGCGAGGCCGCTGGCGGCAGAAGTGGGAGGGGCCTGCTGCTTGGCGGGCACGGACGGGTCGGAGGGCTTGCTCGTGGCGGCGGCGGCGGCGGCGGCAGCGGCGGTGGCGGAGAAGACGGCGGCGACGGTGGCGGGCAGGTCGGAGTAGATCTTCTGGACGATGTCGAGGAAGGGCTGCACGTCGCCCTCGAGCATGGGGCGGTAGTTCTTGTGGAGGTCGATGATGATGCGCAGGCAGATAACCGCGTTGTCCTCGTTCTCCACCTCGAGCAGGAACATGGAGAGCTTGAGGAGGTTGGCCGCGTAGGGCTGCAGCGCGGCGGTGGTGGGCAGCCGGTTGAGAATGTCCAGCACCGTGTTGCGCACCTTCTGCTCGGGACCCTCGACAAACTGAGGCGCACCCTGCCGCAGGAGGTTGTAGAACACGGCGAACAGGAAGTGCAGGAACTGCTCGTACGAACGCTCCCCGTGCACCACCGCCTCCATGCTCTCCTTGACCTCCGTCACCAGACCCAGCAGCGCCGTGGGATCATCTGGCCCACCGCCACCATCACGCACCGCCCACATCCGCGCGATGAGTGGTGAGCACGCGGCACATCTGTTTTCTGGCTGCTTCTGCCGCTACCGCCGCCGTCGCCAAAGGGTGCCCGCCAGCTGCAAAGCCCGCCGCCCGTGGAGCCTCTCCTCAACCCCCATTTGCCGCCATGGCGGGGGCAGGAGGTGTTGGGGTGGATTTGGGGGGGGGGGAATGGATTGCAAGTGCCGGACCCGGAGGTGGTGCAAGAGGGATGATGCGCATATGCACCTTTGAACTCAAGAAACTTGCGAGCGAGGTCTTCGAAATGGTGATTTGGCGGTTCGGTGCCGCTGCCGGCTGGCCTCTCCATCTCTCTCTCTCTCTCTTTGCTTGGTGGGGGCAGCAGGGCAGCTGGCGAAAACAGGAGAACTCTGCCCTCCAGGCCTCTGCGCCTGCCGCCTCGTGGCCAATAGGCATCGGCGCATAGTTCGAATTTTTTGGTCTCCTTTAACGTGACGGCGGAGGTGGCGGGCTCTTTTGATTTCAAGACCGGTGGTGGTGAGAGGAAACGAACAAAAATCGAGATGGAAGCTTCTGGTGGTGCCTCTGTGTCCTCTTCATCTGGTGCCAAGGCCATGCAGGACCTTCTTGAGGGACACAAGGAGTGGTCGAGAGCTGTGGTTTATGACCAGGACGGCAAGGTCCTCGCTTCCACTTTCGATGTGGACCTTAATGACATCGAGTGCGTTTTTCAATTGCATCGCAATTAATTGTCACTTTTGCAAAACCAACTTCTAACTGTGCAATCACAGAGATTTGCTTCCACTTTTCAACGACGAAGACAATGCCTTCAGATTTGGCCTTGATCTGGGCGGTGAGCACTACGACGTGCACAGGTTCTCTTTCTCTCCGCGAGTTTTCTTTGGTCGTTATTTGCAGGACTTATAGCGGTCCTGCGATTGCAGATTCTACGACACGCTGGTCTACGGCAGGAAGGTGGACCAGAAGACGGGCGACGGAATCTGTGTCTGCCGAGTACGCGCTTACCCTTCAGCTGGCCCAAAGGGCGCCATCGTGGACACCGCGCGGTCGTTGACCTCTGCATGTGCATGTGCGTGCGCGTGCGCGTGCGCGCGCCTGTGCGGTGGCGCAGACCAAGAGTGGGGACAAGGCGATTTTTGTGCTCATCACCTACGCCTTCCCCACTCTCTCGGCCAAGGCCGTCCCCGATCTCCAGCAGTTCTGCAAGGCCCACGGTAAGCAGCAGCCTCGCGCGCATGTGTGCCCATGGCCTGCACCACACACGCACCACACATTCTGCCCCGTTTTGGCTTCGACGGACAAACCTCCTCACCGCGCGTTCTCCTCCTCCCTCCTCCTCCTCCTCCTCCTCTGCAGTGGAGCCCCTGCTCTGAGCGCGGACACTCGGCTTGCCCACCCACCCACGCCCCCTCCCCTGCCTTCCGCCTTTCTCGCCCCCCCCCCCTGCTCCACGTCCCCGCGTCCTCCCTCGCGAGTGTAGCAGGCCAGTCGCCGGCGCAGTAAATAACAACCCAAACCCCCCAACCTAACGCTCGTGCAACCAAGTCTGCTGCTTGCATCAATCCGTCAAGGGGGCAAGGCAGCCAGCACACATGAGTCCTCGCCCTACTCCACGGGGTGGGGTGGTGATGATGCGGGAGGAGGAGGGGGAGGGCCTCGTGTAGCGAGGAGCAGGGTGTTCTCTGGGGAGATGTCGGGGGCCACGTAGCGCACCAGGCGCACGTCGAACCCGCGGTCCCGCAGGTAGAGTGCGCGCCCCACGTCGAGAAGCTCTTTGCACTGTGTGCCCACGGCTTCCTTCTCCGCGCTGCTCAACCGCGCCAGCCCGTGCGGCGGTTGCGGGGCAGCCTTGGACCCCGCCTCGCCGCCTTCTGCCGCCGCCGCCGCCGCCGCCGCCGCCGATGCCCCTCGCTCCTTCGCTTCCTCCTCATCCTCCGGAGGAAAGCCGCACACGGCCCAACTGCACCACATCCACCGTCAGGGCGAGGCGCGGGGCCTACGAACACACAGGCACGACGGGAAGAGGGGTGAGGACCTGCTCATGCGGCAGAGCACCTGGTACTCCTTCTCGCCGATGCCCACGCTCGCCAGGAACTCCTTGTCTTGACGCACGCACGCACACACGCACCGGATGGTGAGCACGGCGCGCGCGCTATGTCCCGCATGGGGTGAGGGGGTGGGGCAGGAGAGCATATACTGAGGTAGGCGTCGTAGGTGCACCGGTGGTGACAGCAGAGGGCGACGGCCATGCCCGCGAGCTTGTCTGCGTGCTGGCCGAGCGTGTTCACGCTGCACCGGATGGTCAGCTGATGGCGCGGAGCGACGGAGAAAGGGTCGGGTGAGATGGATGGGGGGCGGGCGGAACGCGACACCGCACCACACGCGCGCACGGCGAGTCAGTGAGCGGGGGTGGGGTGGACACGCACGTCCGAGGCCGAGCCGCAAATGTGCTTGGCCACGGACACCAGGGCGGTGGCCTTGTGCAGCTGGGGCACGGCGCCCAGGTTGAGATGGGCGATGTCCACGTTGAGGCGGGTAAAGAGCTCGGTCGTTCCCTCGCCCCACACGAACCGCCGCTCGGCCTACGTCGTACGCGAACCCCCCCCCCACCCGAGGCCCACGTGTAGGAGGAGGCCACGCGGATCACGCGGTGGCGCGAGTGAGCTCTCATGTTGATCGCACATGCGCCGGTGTGGAAAGTGGGGGCCGCACCTTGTGGCGCACGGCCTGGCGGTCGACTAGAATGTGCGATGACCGTGGGCAGCACTCGTGCACCATGTCGCTGAGGTTGCCCTGTCGTCGTTCGTTCGTTCGTTCGTTGATTGTCACAACCAATTGCGGCTTAGGCTGACCACGCAATCCCCCCCCCTAAATCGCGGAGAGGAAGCGGATCGAGGAGGGGAAGGCACATACTCTCCCGGCACCGAACTCGATGAAGCACGCTCCGTCGACCAACAGCCCCGCCGCCGCCATGTGCGCCAGGATCGAACTTTAGGGAGGCGCACACGTCAGCGCCCAGCATCACAACACACGACACACACACGACACACACGACACACACGACACACACGACACACACGACACACACGACACACACGAAAAGCTCAACCACTCGACCCGCTGGGTTCCAAGTGGGACGTGTGGCAGCATATGTAGCAGCATGCAGCAGCATCAGCAGCAGCCGGGAACGACGGTTCTCCTTCTTCTTTTTCAAAGGTACCTTTGCTGGGTCATGTGCTTCACGCTGCAGGCCCTGGTGCACCATCACGCACCACCACCAGCAGAAGCGAAGGGAGAAGGCACGGATGAGTGCATGCGCCATGGCAGCAGCAGCAGCAGCAGCGCCACGGTCGTGGTGGCGTTGGGGTGGTGATACCCCTTGGCGGGGGTGAAGTGGGGCTCGCAGGGCGGGTGGCGCAGCATGACCGTTTGGAGGGGCTCGCGGCAGTGGAGGGCGTGGGCCGTTCGCACGAGCGCCACGAGGGCGTCCACCTCGTCGGCCCGCATGGACGCGAATATGGAGGGCGGCTGCTGCCTCCGCTTACGCTTCTTCTGCTGCGGCTGGCCCTCGTCGCCCTCGCCCTTCTCGCCTCCTCTCTTCTTCGCCTCGCCCGCAGCAGCAGCAGCAGCACCACCACCACCACCACCACCAGAAGAAGACGGCCCCGCCTGAGCGCACGAGGCGGCGGCGGCGGCCGAGGCCGCTGCTACCGGGCCGGGCAGGTTGATGTTGAGGCAGTAGTAGGGGGCGCTCTCGGCCACAGCCTTGCGCTGGGCCGCCGGGCACTTGGCCACGTGCTGCTCCACCCGATGTGCGTAGCACGTGCTGTGTACCCCCCCCCCGCCTTACGCGTAAGGCCGCAGCGCATGTTTTTTGGTGGGGCACCCATGGATGCGGTGGGCGGCCATGAGAAAGTAAAGGCAGAAGGGAGTCGTTTCGGCGGGGGGGGGTTGTGGTTGTGGTTTGGTTTGGGTGGGGGGGTATGAACTGGTTGGGGTCGAGGGGGCACGGCACGCGTGGGCGACCGCCGACCGCGCCCAGGTGCGAGGGGCACATCTGCTCTCCGGGCGCCGCCGGTTGGTGGCAGCCTCGCGCTCGCCCCACCAGCCAGTAGGCGCACGTAGACGTACGTCCAGCGGGTGCCTCGGGCGGCTGCTGCTGCTGCAGTACCTCCTCCGGGGCGGCCTCGTGGGGAGGTGCGGGACCGACGTGCTCCTCCATGGCCAGGTTCGCGCTGCGGGTCGGGTAGGTATATCGGTATTTTTCCACCTCCTGCCTGACGTCCTGCCGCATGCAGGCTACCCCCACCACCACCACCGGCACCGGCACCGCAGACGAGGCGGAGGCCCACCACCAGAGGGAGGAGGAGGCCCACGAGAGGCTGTTGCGTCGCCTCGAGGAGTGCCTGCGCGAGCCGCTCGAGTGGGTGGAGCGGGCAGACGGTGGTTCCTCCACCACCACCACTGCAAGGAGCCCCCCGCTGGTGCGGCCCCTGGTCTTCACCGGCCAGCGCTGGCCGGCCCACCACGTACCCCCACCCTAAATACAACGCCACCCCCAGCACTCTTGTTTGGGGGGGGGCAACTGGGCAGTGTGGGCTCACATGAACGTGCGGTGGTCGTGGTGCCATGGGCTGCTGCTGGTGGGAATGGATGGGGGGGGGTTGCTTCCAGTTGTGGTCGGTGGCGTACGTGCAGCGGCGCGTGGACCCGACGGGACGGGCGCTCGTGGAGGTGAATCGGTCGCGATCGGAGCGGTTCCCGGACTTCAGCTTCGACGCCGCCGACGAGGCAGAGGCCAACCCACGCGTGCGCCTGCCCTTCTCCTCCTTCGTGGACCACCTCCTCGCCCCGTCTCCCCCCGCAGTCGCCGCCGCCGGTACTTCTCTCCCCTGAACGGCCCCAATGGATCGTGCGCGGTGCATTGATGGAATGGATTGTTGGGAGGGGGGGGGGTGACGTGACGGTGGTGCACCCACAGGAGGAGGAGGAGGAGGGGAATGGCTGTACCTGTCGGGCGATGCCGCCCACCTGCGCCACTGCGGGCGGGACGGAGGCCTCTTTGCTCCGCTTCTCGCGGACATCCGCGTGCCCCCGATGATCGACCCGCGCCACCTCGCCACCATCGGCTTTTGGATGGGCCGCAAGGTGCACCACCAGCCACCATCAGCCATCAGCCACCAGCCGCCACCACCAACGGCCATCCTACTGGCCAGGTATGGTCATCCATGATTGACTGTCGGGGTGGGGGGGGGCAGGGCACGGTGGCGCATCTGCACTTCGATCGCAACGGGTGCCACAACATCAACGCGCAGGTGCGGGGCCGGAAGCTCTTCGTCCTCTTTCCCCCGTCCGAGTTCGCCAAGCTCTACCCTCCCCCGTCATCGTCGCTATCGCCGCACGCGCATCACCGTGGCGAGGACCATGGCGAGCCGCGTCGCAGGAGCCTGGGCCTGCTGCGCAACATGAGTCAGATCGACCTCCGCACCATCCACGAGCCCCAGCAGCGCGAGCGCTTCCCCGCCTTCGCCGGCGTGCGCGGCATGAAGGTCGTCCTCGGCGAAGGCGAGATGCTCGTCATCCCCGCCTGCTGGTGCTCCCACCCCCCCCCACCCCCTTGTATTAGATGCATGCCCGCAGTAGTATCGACCTTCATGATCCGCCATCACCTCCTCCCCGGGCGGTTCATTAGCGACCTCACACGTTCTTCTTCTCCCTCCTCCTCCTCCTCCTCTCGCCAGGTACCACTTCGTGATGGGCCTCGACGAGCTCAACATCAACGTCAACTTCTGGTGGAAGCCCGACCTGCTGGCCGATAGTCCGCTTGGTCTTCCCGGTACGTGGAGAGGCCCTCTTCAGTTGGGCTGTAGCTTCCCCATCCCCCATCCCCAGCTCGTAGTAGTAGTAGTAGTAATAATAGTAATAGTAATAGTAATAACTGGTGATGACGATGATCCCCCCTGGTCCACGTCCCGCGCCGCAGACGGGTTCCCCAACTGCGAGGAGGAGGAGGAGGAGCAGGACTCCGAGCCACGGCCAGCCAAGCCCGCCACCCCGCGGCCATCGCGTCGCGGCTGACCTGCGCGGGCGCCCATGTGGGGGCGTGCACGTGGCTCGCGTCGTCGGCCACCACCGACCTCAAAGCCGCCCGCAGCATACATATTCCGCACCACAAATGGCCCGCCACACGGCCATGTGGTCGCCAAACAAACAAGCAAACAAACAAAATCGATCAGACCTGTGTACAGATTGGTCGCGACGAATGCCGCATTCTCCGCTCTCTCCAAACAACAACAACAACAACAGAAGGCCAGCGCCACCACTACTTTGGTGTCACCAAGTGCAGCGGGGCTCTGTGTCGCGTGTGTGTCAGGGCCTCGCCATAGTGCTGACACCTGGTCAGGTAGGATGCCACCTCCAACAGGAGTCCCTGCGTAGGCGCGCCTGTTAGCATGGCCTGGACGATGATGACGATGATGGTGCGAACCCTCCTCATCCTCCTAACCCTTCTCACTCTAATCCGGTGGGTGCCGTACCAAGGGAGGGGAGGCGCTGCTCGCCGCTGGCGGGAGATCTCCAACGGAGCACACAGATTGCAGGGCGGACTGGAGAGCCGTCATTTCGCTGACCGCCCCACTGATGAGCGCCATCACTTCCCTGGGGTTGTCGTTGTGGTGGTGGTGGTGGTGGTGGTGGTGGTGGAGGTGGTGGTGGTGGTGGTGGTGCCGTGGTGGTGGTGGTGGTGGTGGGGATGGGGATGGGGACGGGGATTGAGGAGGAAGCGCGCCGGGGGCAGGCAGGATGGGCAGGCGCGGTGGTACCGGTGGTGCGCTGGCAGAGCCAACACCATGTTGCCCGTGAACGGCTGCTGCAGCTGCGCAACCAGCCCCGCGGTTCCCACACGCTCACAAATACGGTCGAGGGATGCGATCACGCCCGCGATGCGCTCCATGCTTGCCTCTGGCGGAGAGAATCACGACCGGTGAGAAGAAGAGGGGCTGGCAAGAAAAGCCAGTGCTGGTTCGGTTGGTGGGGGTCAATCTACGCAGCGTCTCGACATTGGCCACTGCGGCGGAGGAGGTCCTTTCCTTTACTTCGGCGAGGCGAACCTCCAACTGATGCAGAGGCGGGTGCTCAGTAAGCAACCATAGAACCGCAAAAAGCTCGTGCATGCCACGCCGAAACGAGCAGGAAAGGGGTCCACCGTGCTGCGCAGAGACGGTACCTCCAGGAGCTGGGTTTGTGCTGCCCGCAGGCGGAGCAGATGGGAGATGAATGAGGAGATTTTATCATTCTGACCGTCGTCGAGGCTTTCGGTGGTGTGCAAATCGACCTCCAGCGATCGGGCGAGCGCAAGACAAGCTTCCATGAATGGGAGGTTCACAATTCACAAATGTACTTGTGTTCTGTTTTTGGGCGGGAAGGGGAAGAAATGAATTTGGCGGGAAACAACAACGGAGGAGAGAAAAAGGGCTGCGGCACAGATCAAATCACTACCTACACACATTCCGCCCCAGATGGAAGGGCTTCTGTTCGGGAAGGGTGGCGAGGAGCATCAGGAGTGGCAGGAGTGGTTGGGAGCCACGGAAGCGCAGCTAGCTCTTCGCGAGGCGGTGGTGTGGTCCCTGGAGAGGGGGCTGCCGGGCAACGCGACTTGGCTGGCCGAGCGTCTGTGGGCCATGGGCCGCACGCAGGGAGCGCTGGGCTTGCTGGCCACGTGCCACCTTCGTGCCGGACGGGCAGGGCGCGCATATGCCCTCCTGTGCCCGCACCTGCCACCGCCACCTGCCGGGGACGCGGCGGGGAGGACTGCTGCTGCGGCGGCTCCTGGGTACCTCTCCGAGCCCAACCGCTTCCTCTTTGCGCAGGTGTGCTTCCAGCTGGGCCGCCTCAAGGAGGCCCACGACGTCCTCCTCCCCCAACCCACCGCTGTTCCGCCGATGGGTGCCGCCGGCTTCTACCTCCTGGGCCAGGTCTTGCGGTGCGTACGCCTCTCTTTCTCTCCAGGAACTCTCCTCCCTTTGCTTGCTCCCCACTCATATCCGACACGCGCGCGCTGCTCTGTGGGGCGGGCGGCTACGCGGGCGCGCGTGCGGTTGATAATCGTAATCGTGGTGGCCTGTGATTGTGATCGCACTTGTGATGGTGGTGGTGATAATGGTGGTGGCGATCGTGCCAGGCACCAGAACCAGAGAGGGCGCGCGGTCAAATACCTGCGGCGCAGTCTGGAGCTCCAGCCGTACCTGTGGTCGGCCTACGAGGCCCTCTGCGCGTTGGGTGAGGACATCGACGCCGCGGTCTTTTTCGCGGGTGGTCCTGCTGCTGTGCCTCCTCCCGAGCACCTCGCCACTGAACCTGCACTCTCAAGGTACGCGTGCTGTGAAAGCTCACTCACGCACAATTGTGTTCGTCCTCGATCCGCTCATGGGCTGCGTGGGTGCGGGTGCATGCGCGCATGGGCGCGCGGCCGCTGGCGGAATCTGATCCATTGCATGGTATGTACACGCAAACAGCAGCGCCTCCACTCCGGTGTCGTCGTCATCGAGCGCACCCGGCATTCCGGCAGCGCGAGTCGCGCTGATGGAGACGCCCGAGGCCACCAGCTCCACCTCCCCCGCCCTACCGATGCTGCGAAGGCGCCCTCTCCCCTTCTCCTCCTCCTCTTCCTCATCCGGCCCTCCGTCGTCGTCGTCGACTCTGCCGTCGTCCCTCTTCTCCACGCCGCCACAACAACAGCCGCAGCCGCAGCCGCAGCCGCAGCAACCACAACAGGGGGAGGATTCCTCTTCCTCGTCGGCAGCGTTCGCCACCCCGGGCCAGGCCCCCGTGACCAGGAAGACCAAGAAGACCGATGGCAGCAGGCACATCGTATGCCCAGCCCTCTCTTCCCTTCCCGCATCTCTGTCTGTCTGTTTGTCTGTTTGCTGACACCGGGGGGGGGGGACCATTGATGTGGCGTGCTGTGTGCCATGTGATGCGCCGTGCCCGGGGTGCAGGCGCCGCGGAGGTCAACGCGCTTGTCGTTTTCCTCCGCTGTGGACAAGGACACCGCCGCAACGCCCGGCGGAAAGGTGCGCACTTCTTCTAGATCCAGTATCTCGCAGGCGGCGGCGGCGGCGGAATACGCTCAGACGCGTGGAAGGTCCGCGACTAACCGTGTGTCGTGTGTCGTGTGTCGCGTATTTCATCAGCGCAAGTCAGACGTCAAGGGGGCGGTTGCTCCATCTGCCACAGCAAAGCGCCGTGCGCCCCTGCCCTCGTCGTCGTCGTCGTCCGCGTTCGAAGACCTGCCCACCTTCGCCAGGCTCAGCCTCCAGCCGGACAGCGCTTCCCAAGGCACACCCCCTTCCCCCCACCCCCCGTCGTACGTTCGCTGGCGCATGGCTGTAGCTCGTGGAACGCGCGTGTGTCCTCCTTGGCTGGTGGCCGTGCCGGTATGTCGCGCGGGGTGTGTCAGAGCAGGTAAGCAACGGGGAGAGCGCGAGGTGATGAGCCTCCTCCGGACGATGGGCAATGGTGTGCGCCACCTGTGCCAATTCCGGTGCGAGCAGGCCATCGCCACGTTCGGCCAGCTGTCTCCGCAACACCGCAACACTGCCTGGGTCATGTGTCAGGTCGCCCGGGCCCACTTCGAGATGGTCAACTACGGCGAGGTGCGCCGACCTCTCCTGTTGTGTCGTGTGTGTGTCGTGGGCCGTTCTCTTCGCGGGTGCCTGCGCGACAACGTTTGCTCACTCACCGGTGGGTGGGTGTGGGGCGGGGGGCGTGGCAGGCCGAGCGGCTGTTTGCAGAGGTGCACCGAGCGGAGAGCACGCGTACGGAGGGCATGGAGATCTACTCGACCATCCTGTGGCACCTGCGCAAGGAGGTGGGCCTGAGCCACCTGGCCCAGCAGCTCGTCGACGCGGACAAGATGTGCCCGCAGGCCTGGTGCGCCCTCGGCAACTGCTTCTCCCTCCAGAAGGAGCACCAGACGGCCATCAAGTTCTTCCAGCGCGTACGCGATCACTCCCCACCCCCGCCCCCCTCCCGCCCCCCTCACAACGCCTTACGTACGTACGTACGTCTGGGGGTGTCACGTAAAGACTTACCTTCCTTCCCGTCTTGCTTTCCTCGTTTCTGTTCCTGGCCAGGCGACGGAAGTGGATGGTTCGTTCGCCTACGGCCACACGCTGTGCGGCCACGAGTACGTCGCCAGCGACGATCTCGAGAAGGCCCTCGCCTGCTTCCGCACCGCCGTGCGGATTGACCCGCGCCACTACAACGCCTGGTTCGGCATCGGTACCGCTGCTGCCTCTCCTCCTTTTCTTGCAACAGTCCAGAGCTCACCCTAACAACACACACCACACACACACACACACACACACACACACGCAGGGCTGGTTTTCTATCGCCAGGAGCGCTACGAGCTGGCTGAGTACCACTTCCGCAAGGCCCTGGCCATCAACCACACGAGCTCCATCCTCAAGTGCTACATCGGCATGGTGCTTTACGCCAGCAACCGGCCGCAGGCACCTCTCCTCCTTCCCCTCCTTCCCCCTCTCTGCGTGCGAGCCGCGTCGGGGGAGGGGGCGCCCTTCTCACGGTCAGTCACAAATGCTGCTCGGGTCCTGCTGCAGGAGGCCTTGGCGGCTCTGGACGAGGCCATCGTGATGAATCCCACCAACGGGCTGGCCAAGTACAAGCGGGCGTGCGTCCTCTTCGCCCTGGGCCAGTACACCCGCGTGGTGACCGAGCTCCAGGCCCTGGCGCTCTCTGCCCCGAAGGAGACCTCCATCCACTGCCTCCTGGGCAAGGCACGCCACCACGCGCCCAGCTACTCGCTGACGCGTAGAGAACACACACTAACGCCGAGAGCTCTTGGCCACTCAACAGGCCCACAAGCGGCTGGGGGACAGTGAGACGGCGCTGCGGTGCTTCCACACAGCCTTGGACATGGACACCAAGAACCAGACCTACATCAAGGGTCTCGTAGAGAAAGTGGGCATCCCGGACGACCCCCACCAGGATGACCCGCTTCCTGATCTCACGTGACGGGTGGTGTACCCAACGATTAAGCGCACGCTACCACACACTCCCTCAGACGCAGGAGAAAATGAAGATTTTGCTTCTCGAATCGCATTTGTTACACCCCCCGCTTGGGGGGAAGGAAGGTCGACGCACTGACGAAACTTCCTCATTACATAGATAAAGAGGCCTTCGGCCGAGGAGAGAAGTGTAAGAGATTTAGTCCAGCCCGGCAGCGGCGGCAGCCTGGTCAACGGCGCCTTCGATGAGGTCCTTGGCCGCATCGGGGGCGCTAGCGCTCGCCTTGATGAAGAGAAGAACGATGGCCACCAGGAAGGCACCCACCATGGCAGCGACGATGAAGGGGAAGATCTTGTTGACGAATTCCACCTCAGTCTTGTTCTGCTTGGCGATGGCGATCTTCCTCTTCTTCGAGGGAATCTTCTCCTGCTGGCCCTGGCTCTTTCCCATCTTCAGCTGATGTGTGACTCTAAGTCAGTGTTGGTGCGCGGCTTGTGAGGCGCTTGTCCCCTTCTGTGTGTTCGCTCCCCGTGACGTCAGCGCACCACCTGCACGTTGACGTGCGCTGACTGCGGTCTTTTTAATGGCATTTCGCGTATTTGTACATTTTCTGAATTCTGCACGAGGTATTACACTGCACCGGTTGCACGCCGGCAGCCAGGAGGAGGTCAGGAGGCCTTGGAGGGTTCGCAGGCGCGCGAGAGTTCGGTCAGCTGCTGCGGGGTGAGGACCACGAGGTCCTGCGTCAAAAACTTATGTACAGCCCACGACGGTTCCAGGGTGGTGTACGGGTAGGACCGACACGACAACATCGGCCGTGCGGCCTGCACACGCACGGTACAACACACCACACCCAACACGGATGTTAGGACCCGTGACGCGGAAGCCACACACGACACACACACTCACGGAGGGGTCGGGGTGCCGGGCGAACCTGTTCGAGTTTGCGCATCTTTTTGAAGTTGACGTGCTGTCGCTTCGGGTCGGCCGAGCCAGAGGGGTCTATCCAGGTGGGAAGCTGGTCGAGGGCAACGAGATCGGAGAGGTGCACCCCGATGTAGGGCAGGTGCGGCGGCTCCGTGCCTCCAAACTCGGAGCGATACGTGGCGTAGTTTTGCTGGCCGCGCGCCATCAGCCCTGCTCGTCGCCAGCCCTCGCGCGTGAGGAATATACTTTACCCCCCCCCCCCTTCTCGTGCGGCTCTATCGAAACGGCTCCCGCCAACACGGA